ACTCCACAACAGTGCATTTGGTTTGGTTTTGGTTGGTGAGGATGTGGAGAGATTGGGACTCTCATACACTGCTGGTGGGACTGTAAAAATGATACAACCACTGTGAAAACAGTATAACTCACTAACTCACTACCATCGAGTCGGATATGACTCATAGTGACCCCTCCTTGGGTTTCTGAGGCAATACCACTACAGAAGTAGATTGCCCAACTTTCCTTCCAAGGAGTGGCTGGTAGGTTTGAAACGCCAGACTTCTGGTTAGCAGTCAGATATCTTAGGCACTATGCCACCAGAGCTCCCGGAAAGCAGTATGGCCAATACTTAAAAAGTTGTAATTAGAAATACTATTTGACCCAGCAATTTCATTACTAGGTATATATCCCAAAGAAGTGAGAGACAGGACAAGAATAAATCTATGCACACCCATGTTCATTGCAGCAATATTTACAATAGCAAAAAGGTGGAAACAACCTAGGTGCCTACCAATGGAAGAAAGGATAATCAAACTATGGTGCATACACACAATGAAATACTATGCAACCCTAAAGAATAATGTAGAATCTACAAAACACCTCATAACGTAGATGAACTTGGATGACATTATGCTTAGTGAAATAAGTCAATCACAGAAGGACAAATATTGCATTAATCTGTTATTGTAAAAAGTCAAGGAAAGGTTTATATATGGAAGGAAATTTTCTTTGTTGGTTACCAGGGGTGGGAGGGAACACTGTTAGATAAGTAGAGAGAAGTATTAATTTGGGTGAAGGGAAGGGCAATGTACCAAATGTGAGTGATCAACACAGTGGCATTGAGGAAGAGGAAGACAGAGAGAGGTGCATGAGAGGTACTTACAACGAAGATGAACCCTTCTGTACATAGAGTACTGTATTGTCAGTGATGGCAAACATGGATCTACAGGTGGATGAATGGGTGGACAGGCTGGATGATCAAGTATATCTATGAAGAGGGGAGTGTGCCCATGACCATATATAAGGTTGGCAGACAATATTTCTACAAGTGTATTTGCATGTTCTGTATGAATGTCCAGGTTTATAGTAGCGCTGACAAGGAACAAGGTTGTAGTCATTTCTTTGGCCACAGCCAGCTACCCAGAGGGAGCAAGTAGTTGGACCTGTGGGCTCAGGACCATGGTGGCAGGAGATATCAAGCTCAGTTGGCATAACATACTACACAAAAGCATTGTTCCACCTCCTACTTTTTTAGCAAGTAGTGACTGGGATCTTAAAAGCTTGCAAGTGGCCATCTATATGCAACGATAGGTCTCTCCTCATCCAGAGTGAATAAAAATGAAGAAAACCAAAAACGCATGGAAATGGTTAGTCCAAAGGATTGGTACAACATGTGTTCCTCAGCCTATATGACTATGAGACCAAAAGAACTAAATGGTGCCTGGCTACCACTCTCAGCCACTCGGAGAGAGATCTATGTAGGAGATCCTTGATAGAGTGGGAGAAAAATGTGGAACAAAACTCAAAAGCATAAAAAAAAAAAAGGACCAGTTTTGCTGGTCTGATAGAGCCTGGTGACACCCCTGAGACTATGGCCCCTAGCTGCCCTTCAGGTCTAGAACTGAACCCACTCCTGTGGCTTCCAGCCAAGCAAAAGACAGGCACATGAGGTAAACATTTACATTAGGTAGATACACTCCTTGGAGAGATCAATCATGGGAGAACAGAAGGGCTGTGTATTCACAGGGACATAGTTCAGGGGGCAGGAGTGCATGGGAGGGAAGGAAATAGGGAAGAGGTAATTATGGGGAGGAAGTGGGAAGAGAGCTGTTGCATTGTGGGTAATTGCAGTCAATGTCATGAGACAAAATGTATGTGAACTGCTGTATGGAAGATGAATTTGCTCTGTAAACTTTCACCCAAATCACAATAAAAATTAAAAAAAAAAAAAAATCCTTAGAGTCTCATGCTAAGCTCCTAATACTACTAGCCATGTATATGTGTGTATAGGAGGGTGTTGGGGAGAGTACAGAATCCACCTCCATGATTCTTAAGGTAGGGGTACTTGTACTGATGGGGTGAATCCCATCTATGATGTGATTCTATAATAGTGCCTTAAGTGATAAAAAAAACATTCACAGAAGCACTGACAAGCTTTCTGGATGACAAACTACTTCCCAAGCATGACAATATAAGAAGGGTGTGTTTAATGGCAACCAAATATTTTTATTTTGGATGATATATAGAAAAGAATATTTTAAGCATAAGTTATTCAATCATTTTGAATTCTCCTTTCCCTCTCTTTTAGAAGTTTCCCTTATTATCTAAGTTTTTTTTTTTTGTTGTTTAAAACCATAGCATTAAAATATGAAGCAAATAAATACATAATTATTGCCAGTTGTCATCCACTTTGGCACACAAAATAATTTTCCTTATTAGAAGCCCGGGTAGATTTTTCTGTGCCCCGAGTGATAATGGGAATATTGGGAAGGGGTCTTGATGATGTGTTTTCTTTCTTCCCCAGGTCCTGTACAATTTGTTCAAGTCCTTTTGCCAGATGAAAACCATTGAGACCATTGATGTGTTCGCTGGAATTGCTAATTTCTTTGTTGTGGGAATTGGTGGGGTGTTAATTGGCATCTTCCTGGGATTCATAGCAGCATTTACCACTCGGTTCACACATAACATCCGAGTGATTGAGCCACTCTTTGTCTTCCTGTACAGTTATTTGTCCTATATAACAGCTGAAATGTTTCACCTCTCAGGCATCATGGCGTAAGTATTTAACTGATAATTCACTACTTTATTTCTTGAATTTGTATATTCTAAGCTGAGATGTACAATTTGGCTAGGTTCTGTTAAAGAATAAGTTCCTTTAAATTCTTTCAAGAAGGATTGAAATAGTTTTTTCTTACTCTTTGAAATGAGTAAGAAATATGTAAAAATACATATTTCTTACTCATTGAAATGAAAACACGTATCTGCCAAATTCACCTAAACTCACCTGGTGCTTAAGGAAAACTGCTTAAAATTTATCTCTTAAGACTCATGAAATCTGACAACAAACTGTTAAATTGAAGATCAGATGCAGGAATTTTATGTGTTTTTTGCCCCATTCAGTGTTGTCATTGCTGATGTCTGTAACTTACTGACATAAGGTTGTATCACCCAGAATGCTTTTGAAATTCTTGTGGAATTAAATACGGATATTCATCTGAATAATGTTAGAGAAAATTCTCACTTTATGTGATAATTTTGAATTGAGATAATAGCTTAATGCCATTCAGAGCTAATTATTTTAGTGCATTTTAAATTAAGAGGCTTGATCACAAAGCAAGGAATTTATTTGTATCATTGCAAACTGACTCTGAAGGCTGTTCTCAAAAAGAACCTCTGCAAATGAGCAGAGGAACGGCAGTATTTGAATCTTCTTTTAGCCTTTGGAGATTCTCTTTGAAGGAGGGTACTCATTAGGTGTGGATACTTTTGAAAGCTTCCTAAAACAAGCTTTATGATATTATGGTTATAGCCTATATATGGTCAGTAAGAAATACTTAATTTAATATCTTTTATTTAAAATTTTTATTTTGACAAATACTCATTACTGCTCAATATGTATGTGCCAGACTCTATGTTAAGCTATGCTGTATGTATTTGGAATTTTGTTATTGTAAATATCCGCCTAATTTCTTTCTTAAATTTTCCCTTGCAACCTTCTTTCAGTGATGCTGTAAGGATTGCTTTGCTTGTCTCCTCTTTGCACTACTTTCTTTCAAAAACAAAGAAAGAAACCTAAAAAAAGAGTCAAATTCACCTCCCCAAGGAGAGTGAAATCCACTGTAATGAAAGCCTAAGTGAAAAGGTTGTGTGGTTTTCTGTTTCAGAGATGAACCTAAATAAAGCAACATATTAATCTGGTTTGACCCACTGATGAAATGTTCTGCATCTTCCTGGTTGCTATTCATATCATCTGTATGACTTCCAGTTTCTTCACTGTTCTTTAACCGGTGTCACTGAACACATATGATCAGGCAGTTTGCAAGGTCTGGGAAAAGGGTGGGAGTGGGAGTTAGTGTCTAATGTCTCAGCAGTGTTCTAATAACAGTATGTGTAAGAACGCTGAATTGCATTGTGAGTATGTCTTATATTCTTGAGTATGTTCATATTGAAAAGTTCTAACACACCCCAGGGGTTTGTGGTGTTGGATGGTGTTGGAATCCTGGTGCAGCTTTGCTCGGAAATGGGGGTGAGATTCAGGGTCCACAGGGTTTGGGCAGCATACACTGCATAAATCTGTGGCCTCCTGTGAGGAAGTGATCATGGGTTTACTTGCTCTGGGAATTACAAAATCAGGTACAGAACTACTTTCTCCTGGTAAATAGCACAGTTAATTATTTGCTGTGTCTTACTGGTAGATGAAAAACATTAACATTATTTCCAGCTTAAAAGTGAATACTTATTTACAACTTTTAATCCACTGCCATCAATTCTGTCCTGACTCATAGAGACCTCCATTTGGGTTTCTAAGGCTGTCAGTCTTTACGAAAGTAGATTGCCTCATCTTCCTTCCTTGGAGCAGCTGGTGGGTTTGAAAAACCAACCTTCTGGTTAGCAGCCAGATGCCTTATCCACTGTGCCACTAGAGCTCCTTATTTTATAACTTAGTGTACAGAAAATTATTTTATTATGGTTAAATTAATATTTTCATTGCACATAGTACACTAATACAATAAACTAACTATTAAATAGACATTATAGGAGGTTTAAAATTCTTTGCATGTAGTATTACTGTGCAGACCCAATATAATATGGTAGCAAATTAAGGAACAGATTTACTCTGGCATGTATTCTTAGAAGTATCACCTTGTTTTCTAATGTGAGGTGATCAGAATTCTCTTCAAAATCTGACCGTGTGTGGTGCTTCTGTGTGGCATAGGTGGGGACTTCCATTTTGTGTGCACTTCCACTTTGTAATTAATTACTTGGGATGTTGTTTGAGAGGATACAATATAATGACTTTAAAATACACATTCATGTGTACTTCTTTCATAGAACTGGTAGTTTTTTTCAGGACGTAAATTGTACTGAGTACAGAAAGCCCTGTCCTACTTATATTAATTGCATTCATTCTTTTGCTATTCAACAACACATTTTAAGGTTAATGGAGTGAAGGCACATGGTGGGTTGAGCATGCTCAGTGCTTTCTTGTTTACTGAAGAGCAACAGGCAGCCACTTGAAAAGGAAAGTTGGCATAGAGGTTAAATAACCTGTTAGTTTGTAAAATGATGCAAAGCTATGAAATGTGGTCTTTTGAGTTTTACCTACTGGACTTTCCTCCTCACTTCTTCCCTCCCTAGGAACTCTGGTAGTGTAGTGCCTAAGGCACTTGACTGCTAACCAGAAGGCTGGCGGCTCAAACCCACCAGCCACTCATCAGAAGGAAGGTTAGGCAATCTACTTATGTAGTGATACCGCCTCAGAAACCCAAGGAGGGGTCACCATGAGTTGGATCCGACTTGAAGGCAGTGAGTTGGGTTTTGGTTTGGTTCTTCCCTCCCTCCCTTCTTTCACCTATCTCTGTCTTCTTCTGTCCTTCCCTTATGTTTTCTATATTCAGTAACTCCTTTTAGATAAGCTTTGTCTTGGGTAGACTATTGGGCAGCCTGCTCGAGAATGATGCTACTTAATGAGCAGGTCAATGATAAAAGTCTAATTAAAAAGATATCCTTCTATATAACAGAAGATCTGGATTTGGGTTCAAGATGCAGTCAGTTTTTTAGAGAGGAAAGCACTGGGCAGGATTCCAGCATCTTGATTTCTTTGAGATGCTGAAAGCAGTGCACCCAGGCATTTCACAAAGTCTACTGCTTCTATTTATTTTCATCAAGAAAGTGTGGTTTTGTGTGATTTCCGTTGACACGAAATAGATGAAAGACTATGGGGTGGTTATATCTGTCTTCTCGTGCCCTGTATTATAAGCTATTTGGAGAGAGGATTTATGGTCATTTTTAGGTTTGGTTTCCCTTTAGTGGTCTTTCTTAATGCTTTACAATCTAATTTAATGTTAAGGAACTGTTTACACTCATGTCTTCTTGGGAGTTTAGGATGGTTTTAGCTACAGAAACCAAGAGGGTAAATGAAATTCCCTGCTTGCTAATTTTTTTCTTTTGTTCCTTTGGGATTATAATAAATTGTTGTAATCGAGATATATGAGTGTATGTATACGTGTGTGTTCAGAGTTAGTTTCCACACAACTGGCTAAAGATAAGGAAAAATTGCTATTTGTCTCCTAAACTGGTAACTTCCCATATTAATAACACTTAATGTCTTGGAGTAAAAAAGTACCAGAAAAAGGGATAGAAAGGTATAAATTAACAGTTATTGATTTTAAAAATGTATGTCTTGGCTCATGTGTTTTGACTTTGTGTTCAGAAAAATGCTCAGAAATATAGCATTATGATCCCTTATTGTCCCTTTCCTTACCCAAGACAGTAACAGATGCCTAAAATGATTCCTTAAATTCGGAGCAATACAGAAATGCTGTGAGGTGGGACACTGTTCTTCCCCTTTTGGACATCAAGCACCATTCTGATCCTCACTTTATACTCCCACACAGTCCTTGTTGCTCTGATTAGTGGAACATGGAAACACACTGTCCTGGAGGGAGAGATCTTTGGCACTCAAAGCAGTTACAGCCTGCCAGGGAAACACTGCTTTTCTTTGACGTGCTCTAGGAATTTCAGAAAATGGCTAACTCCACCTTCAGATAAGACCAAAAGTGCCCAATAGTTCTTAGTTTTGTTTTGAAGGATTAAAAATTCCTTAGTCACATTTCTCTTGAAGATAGTTAAAATATTCCTCTGTTTGTAGTCTTAATTATTAATGCCTAAGGCATTTGACTAGTAACCAGAAGGCTGGCGGTTCATACCCACCAGCCACTTCTTGGAAGGAAGGTTGGGCAATCCACTTCCGTAGTGATACTGCTTCGGAAACCCAAGGAGGGGTCGGTATGAGTCAGATCTGACTCGACGGCAGTGAGTTTGGTTCTGGTTTTTGTGAAGAAAGTAGGTGATTATTAGTCTCGTGTTACTACTGAGTATATTGAGGCCTACATGGGTGAAACATGGTAACAGGGTGACTCAGTGGAGAGCACACCCAGAGCTTGGGCCACTAGTTATTAGACCAAACCAGAATATATCCTAATATCCACTTTTAAAAAGAGAAACCAGCAAATTTAAGTGACATTTAAAAATGACAATTTATCACAAATTTCTGTAACAGTAGGCTTAGCAATAGAATCTCTAGAGCAGGTCCAATGCCCTGGCCTAAGGCAATTCCTTTTGAAGATGTGAAGATCACATTCTTTTTGGGGGGGTTTTCTTTCTATGTGTTGATAATTATTATCTATTCAAAACTTTGAGAAAAATAGGAAGGTATGCCTTCGTCTTCCACTTCATAATTTCTATTGATTTGCTCTTGGCTTTCCCACCGTTAGTAGCTTATAGAAAACCATCTCTTCAAGAAGCAATCATGAAATCATAACCCTGCATTGCCAGAATTACTACTTCATGCTACTGCAGTGAGTTCCTTAATATGGTCCTTCTAGCCATTCAGGATCCTGTGACTCCCACAGAATGGGTGGGACTATGCAGATAAGGTTCTTTTAGCCCACCATGGGGATTGGAGAGTTTACTCACAATGCAAATAAGATGCATGGGATGCTTACAAGGATGAGATCATGCAAATAAGATGTATGGAACCCTAACAAGAGCAT